ACATGATACTATAAATAGAATACCCTAAAGATGACACCAGAAAACTACTAGAGCTAATCAATGCATTTGGTAATACACAGAAATCTTTCGCATTTCTATACACTAACAAGGAAAGATCAGAAAGAGAAATTCAAGAAATAATTCCATTTACCATCACATCAAAAAGCTCAAAATAACTAGGAATAAATCTACCTAAGGAGTAAAAAGACCTGTACTCCAAAAACTGTAAGATGCTGATGAAAGAAATTGAAGAAGACACACACAGATGGAAAGATATTCCATGCTTATGGATTGGAAAACGCACTTTGTCAAAATGACTATACTACTCAAGGCAATCTACAGACTCAACACAATCCCTATCAAATTACCAATGATATTTTTTCACAGAGCTAGAACAGAAAGTCTCAAGATATTTATGTAGACAGAAAAGACCCTGAATAGCCAAAGAAATCTTGAGAAAGAGCTGGAGGAATCAGGTTCCCTGACTTCAGACTATACTATAAAGTTACTGTTATCAAAACAGCATGGTACTGGCACAAAAATAGAAATATAGTCCAAGGAACAGGATAGAAAACCCAGAAATAAACCCTTGCATCTGTGGTCAATTAATTTATGACAAAGGAAGCAGGACTACACAATGCTTGAAAGAAACTCTCTTCAACAAATGGTGCTGGGAAAACTGGAGAGGTACATGCAAAAATGAAATTAGATCATTCTTTAACACCATAAACAAAGAAGGCTCAAAATTTATTAAAGATCTCAATGTGAAATCAGACACTATAAAACTCCTAGGGGAAAACATAGGCAGAACACTTTATGACATAAATTGCAGCAATATCTTTTTTAATCGAACTCCCAAAATAATGAAAATTAAAACAAAAATAAACAAATGGGACCTACTTAAAAGATTTTGCATAGCAATGGAAACAATAAAAAATGAAAAGACAATCCACAGGTTGGGAGAAAATATATGCAAATGATGTGACTGACAAGGGGTTAGACTCCAACATTTACAAACAGCTCATGACACTTAACAGCATCAAAACAAACAACCCAATCAACAAATGGGTAGAAGACCTAAGTAGACATTTCTTCACAGAATACATACAAATGGTCAAGAGGCACATGAAAAGATGTTCAACATTGCTGTTTATTAGAGTAATGCAAATCAAAACTACCATGAGTTATCACCTCACACCAGCCAGAATGGCTGTCATCAAAAAATCCACAAACAATAAATGCTAGAGAGGGTGTGGAGAGACGGGAACCCTCTTGCATGGTTGGAATGAATGTAAATTGGAAAAGCCACTATGGAGAATGGTATGGAGGTTCTTTAAAAAACTAAGAATTGAGCTACCATATGACTCTGCAATCCAACTCCTGGGCATACATCCAGAGAAAAATATGATCCAAAAGTATACATGCACCCTAATATTGCAGCACTGCTTACAATAGCCAAAACATGAAAGCAACCTAAATGTCCACCCATAGAAAAAGGGATAAAGACATGGTACATATATTCAATGGAATATTACTCAGCCATTAAAAAGAATGAAAGTGCCATTTGCAGCAACATGAATGGATTTAGAGAGAGTCATACTGAGTGAAGTAAGTCAGATAGAGAAGGAGAAATACCATATGACATCCATTATATGTGGATTCTAAGAAGAAATGATACAGGTGAACTTACAACAAAGAAAGAGACTCATAGACTGAGAGAATTAATTTATGGTTGCTGGTGGGAGGGATGGGGAGAACTTTGTGATGGACATGTACACTTTGCTATATTTAAAGTGGATAACCAACAAGGACCAACTGTATAGCACATGAAATTCTTATCAATGCTATGTGGCAACCTGGATGGGAGAGGAATTTGGGGAAGAATTGATACATGTATATGTATGGCTGAGTCCCTTTGTTGTTCACTTGAAATGATCATAACATTGCTAACCATCTATACCACAATTCAAAATAAAAGTTTAAAAAATAAATAAAAAATAATAAAATGATCATATTACTAAAAGCAATCTACAGGTTTAGTGCAATCCTTATCAAAATCCCAATGACAGCTTTAATAGAAATAGAACAAACAATTCTAAAATATATGGAACGATAAAAGAAGCCAAAAAGTCAAAGCAATTTTGAGGGAAAAAAAAGAACAAAGTTGTAGGTATTATAATCCCTGATTTTAATCTATATTATAAAATTCTTGTAATCAAACAGCATGGTGTTGATAGAAAAACAGACACATATATCAATAAAACACAATTGAGACCCCTGAAATAAACCCACAAATATATGGAAAATTAATTTATGACAAAGGATCAATCAAAGATCTTAGAATGGACAAAGATATTTTCTTCAATAAATGGTGCTAGAAAAACTGCACAGCCACAGAAAAAGAAACAAACTAGACTACTATCTCACAACATACAAAAAAATCATCTCAAAATAAAGACTTGAATGTAATGCCTGAAACCGTAACACTCCTAGAAGAAAACATAGCAGTACACTCTTTAACATTGATCTTAGCAATATTTTTTTGAATATTTTCCTCAGGCAAGGGAAACAAAAGCAAAAATAAGCTAATAAGATTATATCAAACTAAATAGGACTATATCAAACTTCTGCACAGCAAAGGAAACCTTCCACAAAATGAAAAGACAATCTACCGAATGAGAGAAAATATTTTCGAATCATATATCTTATAAGGGGTTAATGTCCAAACCATTTAAAGAACTCATGTAACTCAACAACAAAAAACCCTAAACAACTTACTTTAAAAATGGAGAGAAGAACTATATGGATGTTTTTCCAAAAAAGACATAATGATGGCCAACAGGAATATTAAAATGTGTCCAAGATCATTAATTATTAGGGCAATCCAAATCAAAGCCCCAGTGAGATATCACATGCCCATCAGAATGGCTATTTCTTAAAAGACAGTAACAAATTTTGGAAAAGAGTGTGGAGAAAAGTGAACCCTCTTATACTGTTGGTAGGAATGTAACTTGGTATAGCCACTATAGAACACAATATGGAGATTCCTCAAAAATTAAGAATAGAACTACCATATGATATAGCTATCCCACTTCTGGATATTATACAAATAACATGAAAATACTAATTCAAAAAAATATATGCAACTGTATGTTCATCACACCATTATTTATAATAGCTAAGATATGGGGAAAAACCTAAGTGCCCAACAATGGATGAATAAGTAAAGATGTGATATATAGAAAGGAATAGTACTGTGCCACAAAAAGATGAAATACTGTCATTCACAACAACATGGGTGAACCTTAATCATATTATGCTAAGTGAAAGAAGAGAAAAACAAATACTGTATGATTTCATTTATGTGGAAAAAAGACAAAAATAATCAATGAACAAAAAAACAAAATAAATGAACAAATGAAACCAAAACAAACATGCAAATACAAAGAACAGAGCAATGGTTACCAGAGGGGAGGGAGGGGGTGAAATGAGTAAAAGGAATAAACGGTATGGTGATGGATAGAAAGTAAATTCTTGGTGGTGAGCATGCCATAATGCATACAGAAGTAGAAATAAATAAATGGCAATAACAGCAAAAATTATATTAATAAACAATATCAATTCAAAAAGATACATGCATGCCACTGTTCACAGCAGCATTATTTATATTGCCAAGACATATGGAAGCAACCTAAATGTCCATCAAGAGATGAATGGATAAAGAAGATGCAATATGTGTGTGTGTGTGTGTGCATGCTCAGTTACTCAGTTGTGTCTGACTCTTTGAGACCCCATGGACTGTAGCTTGCCAGGCTCTTCTGTTCATGGAATTTTTCAGATAAGAATACTGGAATGGGTTGCTATTACCTATTCCCGGGGATCTTCCCAACCCAGTGATCAAACTTGAGTCTCTTGCATCTCCTGCATTGGCAGGCAGATTCTTTACCACTAGGGCCACCTGGGAATCCTCTCTCACTCTGTGTGTGTGTGTGTGTTGCGTGTGTGTGTGTGTGTGTGTGTGTGTGTGTGTGTGTATACGGATACATTGTATGGAATACTACTCAAACATAAAAATAGAATGAACTAATGTCATTTGAAGAAACATGGATAGATCTAGAGATTATCATACTAAGTAAAGTAAGTCAGAAAGAGAAAGACAAACATGGTATCACTAATATTCATGGAATCTAAAATATGACACAAATGAACTTATTTTATGAAAACTTAAAGAGTCATAGACATAGAGAACAGCCTTGTGGCTGCCAAGGGGGAGTCATGTGGAAGATGGATGGATTGGGAATCTGGGATTAGCAGATACATACTATTATATATTGAATGGATGAACAAGGTCATACTATATAGCACAAGGAACTATATTAAATATCCTGTAATAACCCATAAAGGAAAAATAATATAATTATTATTAATTTATTCCACAAATAATGAGTACCTACTATGTGACAGTCAGGCATTGTTCTAAGTACTTGGGATATAGAAGTAAATAAAACAGCCAAAAATCCCTCCCTTATAAAGCATACATTCTAGTGATTATTGTGAATGGTTTTTATATTCTTGGGCTCCCCTGGTAGCTCAGCTGGTAAAGAATCCACCTGCAGTGCAGGAGACCCTGGTTTGATTCCTGGGTCAGGAAGATCCCCTAGAGAAGGAATAGGTTACCTACTGTAGTATTCTTGGGCTTCCCGGATGGCTCAGCTGGTAAAGAATCTGCCCGCAATGTGGGAGACCTGGGTTCAATCCCTGGGTTGGGAAGATCCCTTGGAGGAGGGCATGGCAACCCACTCCAGTATTTTTGCTTGGAGAATTCCCATGGATAGAGGAGCCTGGCAGGCTACAGTCCATAGGGTCGCAAAGAGGATTTTAACATTAGTAGTAATAAACCAGGACAGATTTCTACTTAAATACCTACAACCTCATAAGTGTTTCAAGGTGCAAAGTAGTTGAGGTCATTTCTCTTCCTCATGGAATTCCCAAGCACTTACCCTCCTTGTGGTGAGCCAGGGGCCGAGGTGCTGATCTCTTTATGTGGAAAGAGGGGGCCTTAGTGGTCCCAGGGCCTGGCACAGGTCCATTGCTGGCCTTTGGCATGGCCTTGGTCCCTCCATCCTGCAGCCTAGACACCAACTTCCCCACATCCACCTCGAGGCAGGACTCCAACTTGACATCTGAAACAAGCCTGCTTGGGGACTTCCTCTCAGGATCTGCTTCCACACTTTTTTGCATAGGCATTTTGGGGTATTGTGGTGGCTTGGGGAATTCTATGCTGCTGATGATAGTACCATTGGGTGTTCTATGTTGAATTTCATCTAGGAAAAGTTGGTGTAGAGGAAAGATTAATGACAACCTTTATCACCTTTTCATTTTAGACATGTAGACATAAGATTGTAAAATTATATACATATTCAAAGGAGCTATTGTTATGGAACAAACCAATGATATCCCACAAAAATCAATCTCTACTTACCCCACTTCATGTGGAGACACAGGTCTGATAACACAAGGAATTCAATTCAAGATCTGATTATTTTCACAAGCACAATTCAGCAAAACCACAATATGCCAAGATTATATTACTTTCAAATACAGACATCAGTTAATCCTTAACTATTTCTATTTATCTCAAAAGTTATTTATAAATATCTCCAATATTTCAGTGTAATGTGCTAAACAGAATTTAACTTCTTTTTCCATCCTCAACTAGCCACTTTATGGTCTTCCCCTAGCTATTGTTTACAATTTCCTGTGACAAAAGCATATGCTTTTCAGTTGTCTTATGTCTTAATTAAAGCTTTGAGACTCTAATGAGAGCCAAGGATATTCTCCCTAGAAAAATTAACCTACACAAATACATGTAAAATTTTGAAAACCAATTTTAAGAGATTCATAGATCCCCCTGAATCAGTTAATGAACCCCTAATTGAGAACTCCTGCTATATGGAAATTGTCACCTTCCTTGGTAATAGAAAACCTAGATCTGAGTGTAGTGGTTAAGAACAGAGGTTCTAGTCAGCTAAATGAGACCTGAGAGATATGTCAAGCAATTAAAACACAAGGGTCCTATTTGGTTCCTGATTAATTTTTTTTTAATGTAAGAAGGAAAATTAGGACACTGACCAAATAGTTATTGCTTTTAAGGAATTACTATTTTGTTTAGTTTTTTTTTTCTTTTATGTATGATAATGGTATTGAGATTTTGGTTAAAAAAAGAGTTTTCATCTTTTACAGGTACATACTGAATCATTTATGGATGAAATGACATGATGTCTGTTTTAGGGAAATGGGTAAGGGTATAAATGAAACAAGATTGGGCATGTAGTTGTAAATGTTGAAACTGGGCAATATGGACATATGGAATATGTTATGCTGTATGTTATCCTGTATATTTTTTATTAAATATACAATTTCCTTTTACATTTGAAACTCTCCACAATAAAATTTTAAAAGGACTGCAGGTTCTGGAGCCAGTTGTCCTACTTACCAACTGTGAGAGCTTGGGCAAGTTCATAATCTCTCTATATCTAAAATTTTCTCCTCAGTAAAGTAGAAATAATAATAGTACCTACCTCATGAGGTTGTGGTGATGATTACATGAGGTAGTATACTTATTTCAGTGCCTGGTACATAATAAACATTCAATAATTGTTAGTTATTATTTATACTATTATGTTCTCAGTAGGCAGTGGGGCAAGAGTTTCCATGGGGAAAGAAAGAGTAAGTCTTGTTTCAAAGAATTTTTCTCCAAGAGTTTTCTTTTTCTTGGGAGCTATTTATTGATCACTGCACTGCTGCTACCACCATAAGGGTTAGAGCCAAGGAGTTCCTCTATAGTTCCCCTGCTTTGGTCGCAGGGTAGATATATAACCCTGCTTTTATTAACCCTAGTACAACTGCCATCAGACTAGTCAAACAAAAAATATCAAAGACTCATTAATAATAATACTATTGACATAGCTCAAAAGTGCCATGTAATTAGATCACATGCTTCCAGAAGATGCCTTGTGGCAGATGCCATCTAACCACCAGCACTTAGGATTAACTTCAAGCACATGTACCTTCTATAAAGTATGAAGTAAATTCTTATGTCACACATGAAGTGATATAAATTCATTCTCCCACATGCTTTGAGTCTAACGTCTCAGTTACATGTTTCTATCTGAATGCTTTCTTTTGGTGAAGAGACTCCAGGAAATTCCATCCCTGTTCTCATTTAGGGAAAACAACAGGGATTGGTCATGCTCTATGGTATCATCACCATCTCAATACAGTAAAAGAAGGTCCAATCTCATAAAGATGATCCACAAACACAGTCTCAGGCCACTACCTTCCACATTGGAAAGGATCTTTTCCTGGCTTGGAAATAGGACATATGATGATAGCAGCAATAGGGATTTGGAACTAGGCCATTCTGCCAGGAAAAACATTTCAAGGCTCTGGGATATGCTGAATAATGATAAAATGGTAATAATTATAATAACGACAATGATAATAATAATGATAACAGATACCATTATGTAAACACTTTCTTTGTGTCAGGGCCTGTTCTAAGTGCTTTACAAGGATTATCTCTCATAATCTTCAAAACTACTCTGTAAACTGTTATTAGTCCCATTTTACAGATAAGAAATCGAAGGCCCTAAAAGTCTCAGTGTCACAAAACTAATATCGTAGAGCCAGTTTTCATAGCTTGAAATCTGTTTTCAGAGTACATACTCTTTCTGAAGACAGAGTTCATTGCTCCTATTGGGTAATAAAGCTCAGCATCATCCCCTTTCTCTAACCAGCCATCTATTTCCATGGGAAAACACAAAAGCCAGCTTCAGAAACTGCAGAGAACTAAGAGTGAATAGGTATCAGGAAAGGAGGCCTCATAAATAGGCAAGTGGCCAACTAGAGGCCTCTCTTCTAAGTGTAGGCAAGTGATGGGGAATAGCTTTAAGAGGTTGCACATTAGTCCAGCAGGAGAAATAGATCAATTATTATAATACAAGTAGAATCATGCAAATAAGCACTATGAGAATGACAGTGCTAGTTCTTTCTGGTGGTGTTGAAGAAAATTTTGTGAAAGAGGTAATTTTGAGCTAGGCCTTGAAGGATTGCAAAAGATGGAAAAAGAGGGAAAGGGAATTTCAAAGAGAGAGCAACTTGAAAGAATTAAAGTTCATGGTTTGTTTAAGAAAATGTAAAAGAAAATATTTAGCATGGTTTGAGCATAGGAACCAATTTTAGATAAAAAGTGTGAGTAGTTGGAGAAGATTTATTAAGGTAGGGTGGGGCTATATCATGAATGCCATGTTCAGGAATATGAATTTTATCATTGGGCTCCAGAGAACCATGACTTTTTTTCACAGGAATGTGGCACTATCACATGTGTTTTTTGAGTATGCCCTTAGGTTCATGACGAAGAGTAGACTGAACCAGAGAGACTGGAGGAGACTGGAGGTAGGGAGACCAAATGGGGGCTGCTGGATCTAAACTGGAGCAGCAGCAGCAGCAAAGACAGACAGATTCAAGGGATATTAACGGAGTGGAATGCACAGGGCTTAGATATGGAGGTGTGAGGGAGTCCATGATGATAGTGAAAGGAGTCATTATAATACAATATATGAGGGGAATAACAAGTTTAGAGGTAAGATAATGAAATGCTACTGGCAAAGAACAGTAGTGAGTAGAGGGATTTGTTCTTTCTCAGAACAGCGTTCAAAGAGGTTATAGGAAGTACAATATTACAGTAGATAAATGAGCTCTGGAATAAGACGAATGCAAGTTGCTTCTCTGTCATTCATTAGCTGTGTGAATTAGGCAAACTACACACCCTTTTTAAGCCTCCAATGCTTTCTCTATGAGAAGCGATGAGGATTAAATGAATATGAATTCACACCCATTTAGGATGGCTAGAATTAAAAGATAACAAGATATGGAAACAATCTAAGTATCCATCAGTAGATGAATAAAGACTTTGTATGTTTGTTTCAGCCTTAAAAAAGAAAGATCTCTTGCCATTCATTTGCTATAATATGAATGAATCTACAAGATATTATGCTAAGTGAAATAAGTCAGACAAATAAAGAAAAAAATTACATAATTTCATTTATATGTGGAATGCTTAAAAGTCAAATACTTAGAAGCAGAGAGCATAGCGGTTACCAGGAGCAAGAGGATAGAGAAAATGGGGAGATGTTGGCCAAAGGATACAGAGTTGCAGTTATATAGGATGAATAAGTCTAGAAATATAATGTTTACCATAACGAGTTTAGCTAACAATACTGCATTGAATAATGGAAACTTGCAAAGAGAGTGGATTTCAGGTACTGTCATCCAAAAAAAAAATACATGTCTATTAGTTTGACTGTAATAATCAATTCACTATGTATATGTGTATTAAATCATCACTTTGTGTAACTTGAACATATACAATTTTACTAAATCAAGACACAAAAGACAATGCTTGTGAAAATGCAGAGAAATTGGAACTGTCATACCTTATTGGTGGGAAAGTAAAATGGTGCACCTGATTTTAAAAATAGCTTCAAAATGATTCCTCGAAGATAAAATATACAGTGATTATATGACCCAGAAATTCCACTCCTATATATACACCAAGAATCACTGAAAACATACATCCACATAAAAATCTGTGCATAAATGTTCATAGCAGTATTATAGCAAAAAGTGGAAACAATCCAAGTATCCAGCAAATGATGAATGATAAACAAAATGTGTTATATCCATATAATATAATATTGCTCATTCATAAAAGGGAATGAAGTACTGATACATGCTTCATAATGGATGAACCTTGAAATCATTATCCTAAGAAGCCAGCCACAGAAAGACCACAGATTGTATGATTCCATTTATATGAAATTTTCTCAGAATAGGCAATCGATAGAGACAGAAATTAAATTAGTGATTATCAGGAATGAGGGAGGAGGGGAGTATTGGGAGGTACAAGGCTCTCTTTGGATGATGAAGATGTTCTGGAATTAGACTGTTGCACAAGCTTATGAATATTCTAAACGCACTGACCTACCCTTTAAAAGGGTGAATTTTTATGTCATATGAATTATATCTCAGTTAAAAAAGGTATGGCTAGGGTAGGTGATCCCATTGGTGAACTTACGGCACGAAGACCTCATCACACAGAGGGGCAAATTAAGACCCAGAATAAGGAAATGACTAGACCAAGTTATTCAGCAAGCTAGGAGCCAAGATGGTTTATCTCAGGTCTACCAACACCTAGTTCATTCATTAATTGCACATATTTATTGAGGACATATGATATGCCATATATACTATGGGATACAGA